TATTTATGTAATGCTAATACTGGATATGACTCAGCATATACTGCTGGTATTTCCTGCTGCACTGGTAATCTGCAATACCCAGCGCAGGACACCACAGAAAACAAAATTTAGAGGTCAATGATGAGTTCAAAAATTGTTCACTTTTCCACGGAAATTCATAAGTGTAAAGTTTCAAATTGTTTCAGGTATAATAATTAATCTTGTTTTACTTACATAGGTGATGTTTGCATATATAGTAAAATACTAAAACTGGAAAATAGAAATTGATATCATACATTACATATTCCGCACCACGCGGAAAGTATTGTCAAACAAATTTTAATTTATTCACCGAGTAAGCAACAAACTTCAGCTGTGTTCATGTTGATATTGTTTGGGAAACTTTAATACCACATTTTAATATGTCGTGTGTGGGGAAAATGTTGGTTCGTAAAATTTCCGTAGTCACGGTTATGATTCTAGGTAAACAATAGACTAAATAAATATTTTTAAGTAATTTTTTTCGAAATTATTCAATAAATCTCACTTTTCTAAAATTAACTGTACCAATAGCATATGTTGGCTGTAAATATAAAATCAAATATAAATAGAAACAGACGTCTCTCAAAAGTGAAAGATATGAAGAAAGAACACCAATTAATCTGACCTACAAAAAGTAGGTTTGTACGTTTTCCGTCGTGTGGAGACGACGAAAAACGTACAATTTGACTACAATATTTTAGAAAAAAACGGCCAAGTGCGTGTCGTGCCACGCATAGTATATATAGGGTTTCGTAGTTGCCTGTAGTTACTACAATTTAATATACATTGAGCAGGAGTCATTATTTTCTATATCGGAAAGTTAGAAAAAACAATTAATACATATCTATGTCTCTCAACTAAAATACCTAAATCAAAGTCAAACTGCGTCTCAAACTCAATTCGATATTTTTTTTTTTAAATACAGTAATTTTTTTTTGTTTCCTCCTAGGGGGGGAGCGAGTATGAAATCCTCATCGATACCCTACTGCCGGCTGCAAGGTTATGTCAGACTCTTGAAGCGATTATCCCTGAGAGGGGGGTGATGCGGTATAACCGCCTTTTCAAGTGCTTTTAAACTTTATATAAAAACGTAATGTTAGCGCGACTCAGAAATCGTTGCCGAAGGTACTCGCGGCAGGGGTGTCGAACTAATGATATTTTTTGTGGTTTTTAAATAGTTTTTCTTTTAGGTTTGTGGCAATGCATGGTTTTACGCTACAGTAACTTCATCTATGTCGCTATTAATATTTTCTTCTAAGGAGTTTTCAATAAGTAAGAAATTTTATTTAACAAAAGTTGAACGACTATTACTCTTGAAGTAACAAATTTATCTTAACCGTGACAGTTACCCTAAAATCTAAAGAAAATATAACTAGAAAAAATTCCACGCGGACCAGGCAGCAGACGGGACTCGAACCCGCACCCTTCGCAATCCGGGCGAATGCACTGACCAATTATGCTACCGCGGCCCTCACGGACCGCGTCGAAATTCTTTCTAGCTATTCTTAAGCTGCAAGGCAGCGCCATCTCTTCGCATTATAGGTAAACCCACAATGTCAAATGAATACTTTTACAAGTATTAAACATTTGAAAGAAGAAATAGCAATTATAGTTATAATTGCTATTTCTTCTTTCAAATGTTTAATACTTGTAAAAGTATTCATTTGACATTGTGGGTTTACCTATAATGCGAAGAGATGGCGCTGCCTTGCAGCTTAAGAATAGCTAGAAAGAATTTCGACGCGGTCCGTGAGGGCCGCGGTAGCATAATTGGTCAGTGCATTCGCCCGGATTGCGAAGGGTGCGGGTTCGAGTCCCGTCTGCTGCCTGGTCCGCGTGGAATTTTTTCTAGTTATATTTTCTTTAGATTTAAACATCAAGCAGTTACATGCTTTAAAAATAATAAAAATTATAACTATAATTGCTATTTCTTCTTTCAAATGTTTAATACTTGTAAAAGTATTCATTTGACATTGTGGGTTTACCTATAATGCGAAGAGATGGCGCTGCCTTGCAGCTTAAGAATAGCTAGAAAGAATTTCGACGCGGTCCGTGAGGGCCGCGGTAGCATAATTGGTCAGTGCATTCGCCCGGATTGCGAAGGGTGCGGGTTCGAGTCCCGTCTGCTGCCTGGTCCGCGTGGAATTTTTTCTAGTTATATTTTCTTTAGATTTAAACATCAAGCAGTTACATGCTTTAAAAATAATAAAAATTATAACTATAATTGCTATTTCTTCTTTCAAATGTTTAATACTTGTAAAAGTATTCATTTGACATTGTGGGTTTACCTATAATGCGAAGAGATGGCGCTGCCTTGCAGCTTAAGAATAGCTAGAAAGAATTTCGACGCGGTCCGTGAGGGCCGCGGTAGCATAATTGGTCAGTGCATTCGCCCGGATTGCGAAGGGTGCGGGTTCGAGTCCCGTCTGCTGCCTGGTCCGCGTGGAATTTTTTCTAGTTATATTTTCTTTAGATTTAAACATCAAGCAGTTACATGCTTTAAAAATAATAAAAATTATAACTATAATTGCTATTTCTTCTTTCAAATGTTTAATACTTGTAAAAGTATTCATTTGACATTGTGGGTTTACCTATAATGCGAAGAGATGGCGCTGCCTTGCAGCTTAAGAATAGCTAGAAAGAATTTCGACGCGGTCCGTGAGGGCCGCGGTAGCATAATTGGTCAGTGCATTCGCCCGGATTGCGAAGGGTGCGGGTTCGAGTCCCGTCTGCTGCCTGGTCCGCGTGGAATTTTTTCTAGTTATATTTTCTTTAGATTTAAACATCAAGCAGTTACATGCTTTAAAAATAATAAAAATTATAGTTACCCTAAAAGTTCATGAAAAGCATTATCATGAATATTTCCAGGATTTTCAAGCCAATAGTTTAGCTTTTAAAGGGTGGGGGGGGGTGGAGGCGCTCTACTCGAACAAAATTATCACTTTAAAGTTCAATATTTCGCAAACAGATCCCTGAATCGAAAATAATCTTAGAAACGCCTAAGCAATTGAAAGGACCTATTCAACGATATCCCACACGATGAGGTTGATGATGCAAAACAAAATCATCAGGTTACATGTAGGTGGCTACGCTAAAAAAATAATATTTCGAAATTGTATTCTACCATTTTGTCGGCGTGTTTAATATACATATCCATAGACTTAATGAAATAGATTCTCCTTGTTTCTGGACCCATGCCAGAATCAGGTGCATATATGATAATGCTCTTCGGATACGAGATTAGGATGAAAAACTGGTGAAAATATACATCCTTTGTGCTCGGCACTCTTTGTCCCACCAAACTAAGCGCGTGCCACACTGAGAGTGAAAGAGGTTCAATTTCTTCCCTCAGGTCATTACCTCAACTTTTCATACTTGTTGCACATTTGGTAAAAAGGAGCCAACATATGGCTCACCTAATGGTAAGCAGCCACTTTAGACACTTGCTTTAATAGAATACTTATTTCTAGCTCTTTGCCTACCCTGAATCCATGCCGTGCTTTATGGAGCCTTTGGTATTTATTAACAGAAAAAACACATCACCACTAAAAGTTTTTGATTATTTTAGAGCGGTATTCTTTAGCGTCTGTACAACATTTAAAATATTCACCAATATTTTACTATTATTTGAGATTTTATCTTTTTTATATATAGCCAGGTAGGCAAATAACTCTACCCCACCTGATGTTAAGTGGTGATAAAGTCCAAATTAAGGATGTTCAAAAAAATAAAGTACCTACTCCTTATATTACATAAACCTAGTAAGGTTTTTTTAACATTCATTTTGTACAGCTTGCGTTGAAGGTAGTTCGCACTCTTACTCGTCGCTCAGACCACTTCAATTTTTAACGAAAAAATCGATATTTCTTCCTTTAACTTATTGTTCATAGTGTCATACTGCAGATCATCGACATCGAATGGGTTTCAGTGCGAAGCCACTTTGCTTTGTCCAGTTTCAATATTCAGCATCTATTAGTAAAAGGTAAGAATAATCTGGTTCCCTTTCTTAACAACATTAATACCTAACATTGTTGCCTAGATACTTTGATTATTTAGATTAGAATAACAACTGTTGGTAGCAAACGGAACTACATTATCTGTACACTTTACTGTAACTTGATTATTGAAAATCACTTATCTGTCATATTTGTGTGAAATAAACGTAGAGAAACTAGCCTCGTTCGTTTCCTCTCGCTCCCGGTGTGCCCCGGTCTTTATACGTATAATCCATGTTTCAACTTCGTAATGCTTTCCAAATCCGGTCATTTTGTCTGCTACTGCTGAAATTATATTTCAACTACCTATTGTGGCACCTACTACTTCGAACGGATGGAAGAATGAATGGTCGAAAAAATTGAGCTAGAATTGGGAAGAGCCGTTCAGTAACTTCCTATTAAAGACTCGTGGTTTTATATATAATAGTCTGTACATTACTACTGTATATAACTACTAATCTTCAGTTGTCTATTTCTACAGTAAATAATTTTCCTGAACTATAAAGGGGTGGGGAACGGGCAGGCAAATCGCAAGTGAATGCTCTCTGGTATTGCAAACTCTTATAATGTATATGATAATGTTCGATGTTGATTAATATGCGGCGATATTGTTTACCACCATTTTGAGAAAAAAAATATTTAAAACATTGTCTTATTCTTCAATCGTCTAGTTTCGCCACCGCTGTATATATTGTCTGAAATGTATACACTAAGATTTTTTTCAGAAATTTTAGGAAAGCAATCGAATTTCCCTTAATCATTTTATATCTTAGTTACTAGTGATGATGATGGTGATCATTGTATGTTACTAAAATAAGATTAAGTTGTGAAATGTGTTCCTTGTGTGATTTTCTACTAAGAAGTTACAAGTCATTGGTTTTAATAATAGGTATTGCATGGATTTTGTTCACACGTAATACGAAGAAACTTTTGACATGATTGGCAAAGTGTTCTGGTGTTGAAGCTGTACAATTAAGGTCATAGCCCCCTTACACTACTCTGCTCCAACACCACTCCCACCCAACACCGCCCTAAACTAGGGCGACTGCTCTCAGTACACGCGGCGACAGCTAGCAGGCACCCAGCTGTCCACGCGCCGAAAGCCAGCTGACAGCGAATTGCTTGGTAGATAAGGCGCGAATGGCCTTCTAGCAGTCTGTGCGTGGATACCGAGCAGACCGATTTCTTGCAACGCGTGTTAAGCGAGGCATCAACTACCAAGTAGTCTGATGGCGGTAGGTTCGCTCACAACGAGCTGTTTGCTACTAATTTATGTGGCCATCGTAAAGTATAACTAAAGACCAACACTTAAAGCCCATATCTGTAATATATTACTTTTATTGGTTGGGAGCGGGGTCGTGTAACTGGGCTAAGACCTTTGTGTGTGTTACGTTTATTCGATGAAACAAAAGCAACAAGAAGATCAGTTGCTTTTTCCTTGTTTTATTTTTTTTAGTGGAAAGGAAGTCGGACGTTGAAACTACTAATCGAGGATGTATCGCAGTATATGTCCTTTGTCATTGACGCTCAAATTGTTTCTGCCTCGTTTGAAGGGTCCCAGGAAGGTCATAGAACAACGGACCTTTCCATTTTCTAGTAGTCCGACGAAGGAAATAGCTAAATGAGTGAAGGAGACAAAATTGTAACGCAAAGTACACAAATAAGTGCTAGGATGGCACACGAGCTATTTTCAGAACAGCAAAAAATATTAAAAACTTAAACTTTTACCACGTCTTCCCGAGCTCAAAATTATTTTGAAAAGAAACGGACCACTTAGTTCGTAAATATTATGAGTTATATATATAATATTAAGCATGTAACTGCTTGATGTTTAAATCTAAAGAAAATATAACTAGAAAAAAATCCACACGGAGCAGGCAACAGAAGGGACTCGAACCCGCATCCTTCGCTATCCGAGCGTATCGGGGTCAGTGCATTCGCCCGGATAGCGAAGGGTGCGGCTTCGAGTCCCGTCTACTGTCTGGTCCGCGTGGAATTTTTCTAGTTATATTTTCTTTATATTGTCACAAACGCTCTCGAAACGGAACCGCAAAAGTGCTAGAGATCGAATGTGCCAGAGCACCGCGGGTCGCGATAGAGGTCGAGTACGCATTACTCGTTCTAATATGAGCCTTATGCAGTGCGACGTAAGAGAGAAAGTGCAACGACATCTGCACTTGTTTACAAGTTATGCGCGTTACCTGTGTAGGTATAAGTAGGTACTTTGTACTTGTGGCTGCTAGCTAATTCTCAATTTAACAGGTACTTTCGATCGACGTATATAAGCGCGATTGGCGCCGCGCAGAGACAGTTGAGTTTCAACAGCGATTTCGGAGCGAATCCAAAGGCGATGAAAGTGCAACAAAAGTGTTCAAGTGTGATAGTTTAGAGACTTGTATAGTGAAATACAATGTTTAGTGAGTGTTTTGTAATTAACATTATGTGTTAATTGTGTGAACTGTGTGGTGAATAAAGAACTGTGAAGCGTGAACTGGCATATAATTTCGAACCCCATCCCGACACGTAACAATATATTTTGAGTCTTGTAACTGAAATCTTAGTTTGCTTAATGTCGTTTATTACTCGTTTAAGTTGTTGGTGAGAAATCCTATTGCTTTAATTTTTTTTGTTGTTAATGCATATCTTCGAGCTTTACTTAAAATTAAAAAAAATATATTAAAAAAATTAAAAATAAAAAAAAATATTTCTTAAGGATATGACTGCTCGCCTGTGCGAGTCTACGGGGGATCCAAGATCTGGTAGCTTTTTTTCTCAACGAATTAGTTTGGCGATACAGCGAGGCAACGCTGCCAGTCTTCTGGGGACCGTGCCCCACAGGAGAACTCAATGAAATATTTAATTTGTAATTATTGTTGCACCTTTTGTTGACATTAATAAAGTATACATTGAAATTGATAAGTATAGATTGTTAGCTCATATTTCTCAAATTTGATTGATAAGTGTTTTCCTTATTTTTTAATATATTTATTCTAAGTTCCCAAGTAAAACCAACGCTATCACTAATAGTTGTATCTATGACATGGGATAAGGATTTATGATTCCGATTTCCATGCCATAGATACGGATATTCTTTTTTTTTAAAAAGGTGAAGGATTATTACTGGGAACGCGGGTAATTTGCTTACAAGAGTTGTATAAAAATCTTCGTGTTAAGACGTGTTTAATGATCATTCTAGAAGTAAAGACGATAGTTTAAATGTGGTTATAATTTGTAATAAATTTATTAAAAGAATTTCAGTGTTTTAAATCAAGACTCTCCTGGACGATTATAAGATACTAGCGGACCCGACAGACGTTGTCCTGTCTACACGTCTTTGTGAATCTAAACCATTCTCAGATCCCCTTGAACACACACAAAAAATTTCATCAAAATCGGTCCAGTCGTTTAAGAGAAGTTCAGTGACATACACACTCACAGAAGAATTATATATATAAAGATATAATAATTGGTAGCACACAGTTCATGTTTATCTCAAAAATCGCTTAGTATCTGTAATTGCAAAGACTTTGCAATTTAGATAAGGAAGAAGCCTGTTGAGCAGATAAGGAATAAAACGCCATCATATTGTACTTTTTTTTTTCAGAAATTATGGAAAAGGGTAAAAAGTTTAGATTGAGGTTCTATGGAAAAGTTGCGCGCTGTTTTTGAAGTTATTTTTTCCGCAAATTTTATTTCCTATGAGCGAGTTGGTACAACGAAGGAAAATTACTGTGGTACCCTTATCTGAAAATCCTACCATTTCACAAACGCGTTCGTGTAAGCTCTCGACGGAAATGGATGAATTTTAGCCAAAAGTGACCGTCACTAAGCCATGGTTGAATGGTAGAGAATGCCTTATGGCATTAAGTCCGCCATTTGTTCGATGACAATGAAAAGTAAATCAATAAAAAAGTCACGGCTGCGATTGGTGACTGGGTCTGGGTGCTTGACACCAATGGTCGGGTTTAGCAGCCGCGACTAGTGTCGCCATTCGCGGTTGCCCAGGTTAGTAATTTTATTTCACGCAGTCTTCTGTAAGTGGGGGTTGCTTCTCCAGATGAGGCGTAATTCAAGTGGAAAATTCGCCAGCTCCACATCTGTCTCTTATAGACAATCAAAAACATGACACGCATCGCTCTAATTCCGAGAAAAGTAGCCAAATTCAAAGTACTATGAACAAAACTAGTATGAAAACACACGGAAGATTTCAGATTATTATTTTGGGATTAGAACCACGTAAGCGATGTTATGTTATATTTATTATTATCTATTACTAGCATGTATTTTTAAATAAATAAAACAACACTCTCTGGTCGTGTGCTTATTTGGAAGAGTATTCGTACGCAAAGCGAAATATCCCTTAATTTAATCTATTTAGTCCAATTGTATGTATTTGGCATACATATCCCAACAGATTGGTTAATATTTATTCGAGTCCCATTTAAAGTGTTTTCCAATTAAATATGAATTTTAATCAATTCTACAAATGACAATTATTTTGTCTTAAACAAAGCTAACTGGTTTCGCCATTTTTGCGGCTCCATAATTTATCGATTTTTTCATAATTATGTTCGTCACATTAATCAGGTGCTCTGAAACCGTTTGAAGTCCTTTTTGCTTCTTGGGATTTTTGTACTTGCGCGAAGTTCGCGCGTCAGCGCTTGTACGCGCCCCGCAGCTTGCAACGACGTTCACGTTAGTCAGTTATTAATCTGTGGATCTCCGTTAATATTTGTATTGTATCGCCGCATAGCTTAATTCATCGAGTTATACAAATCCCGGAATTTCTGCCCATCCATAGGCATTGAGAAATCAGTGTAAGTGCTTCCTTGATTAATATTACGAACACATACCTACTACAGTTCGCGTTAGCTATCGAAGATGTTAAATATTTCAACGAACCATATAGCTACTCGGTCCTTGTTTAACTTCATTCTTACTACTGACAGAGCTATAATAGACACTTAACATAAATTATATATGATATAATTATATTAATGCACTATTTGCATCCATCACACAAATAAATTCCACTACCGGGATTCGAAGCTAGAACCTTTAGGGCAAAAGGTAGAGCACTATCTTTGCACAGAAATCGGAAACGCTCCTAAATCTATACTAATCTTATAAAGCTAAAGAGTGATTATTTGGTAGAAAGAAACTAATTTCAGGAATTACTGAACCGATTTGAAAAATTATTATTGTGTTCGGTAGTGCATTTATCAAGAAAAGATAGGATATTTATAACATCACGCTACGGCCTAACAGCGGAATGTTAGAGTTTCACAAAAATCAAATATGACGGAAATGATTCTCTTTAAAAGTTCTATAAAATAGTCCGCGAAAGCAGTGATATATCTATCTTTTCCGGGTTTCATGGTGTCGCCGACTCGAGTGGTCTCTGGTTCAAATCCCGGTAATAGATATAAAGAAAATATTACTAGAAAAAATTCACACGGACCAGGCAGCAGACGGCATTCGTCCGGATAGCGAAGGGTGCGGGTTCGAGTCCCGCCTACTGCCTGGTCCTGGATTTTTTTCCAGTAATATTTTCTCTAAATTTAAACATCGAGCAGTTACATGCTTAAAAATTAAAAATTATAAAAATAGGTATAATTGAAAGCAACCTGTTTGTGTGCAAAAATCTCTCTACGGAGTATTTTAATAGATAGGCTAGCCAACACAAACCGAAAGACTAACAGAAATAAAAAAGTTATAACCAAAGCAAAGTGGTTTAATTCGCAGCACGCCATCTATCACCAAATGGCTGTTATCAAAAGCGGTAACGTTCCCTCGCACGACCTCCCTTATCCCTTAGGGCACGATTCCATTAGGCAACTTACATGTTTGCAAAAATGCAAATTGCATGCAACTTCAACAAACCTGCATAAATAAAATGAAATATTTATTGGCCATCTTAACAAAAGAGAAACTTATAAATGCAACAAAAAAAATACAAGAAAACTTAATTATAGTAATATAAGTTATTTACGGGATTGTTACCATGTACCTTGTTTTTAGCGAGGGTATAGAACGCAATAAAAGACTTCGTCGGAGGGTAGACCGATATGTCTGCCAATAACAGCCTACCCGCAATGACTTCAGTTACTC